GCCACTCCCGTCCGCTCTATCACGATCGCATTCTCTCTCTCCGTCGCTCCCGTGCGTTCCCACGGTCGCATTCACACGCTCCGTCCGTCCGTTGCTCTGCCACCGTCGCATTCTCGCGCACCGTCCCTCCCGTGCGTTCCCACGGTCGCATTCTCTCTCTCCGTCCCTCCCGTGCGTTCCCACGGTCGCATTCTCTCCCTCCCATCCGCTCTACCTCTCGCATCCGCTCTCTCCGTCCATTCCGTGCGCTCTACCTTTCCGCATTCGCGCGCTCCGTCCCTCCCGTCCGCTCTACCTCTCGCATTCGGTCTCTCCATCTCTCCGTGCGCTCTACCTTCCGCATTCGCGCGCTCCGTCCCTCCCGTCCGCTCTACCTCTCGCATTCGGTCTCTCCGTCTCTCCGTGCGCTCTACCTTTCCGCATTCGCGCGCTCCGTCCCTCCCGTCCGCTCTACCTCTCGCATTCGCTCTCTCCGTCCATTCCGTGTGCTCTCCCTTCCGCAATCGCGCGCTCCGTCCCTCCCGTCCGCTCTCCCTTACGTTCGTTATCTCCGTCCCTCCCGTGCGCTGTCCGTACCTCATTCGCTCGCTCCTTCCCTCCCGTCCGCTCTCCCACCGTCGCATTCTCTCTCGCCGTCGCTCCCGTGCTCTCTCACCGTCGCATTCACCGACGAATTCGCTCTCTCTGTCCCTCCCTTGCTCTCCCACCGTCGAATTCTCTCTCTCTGTCCCTCCCTCGCTCTCACACCGTCGAGTTCTCTCTCTCTGTCCCTCCCTCGCTCTCACACCGTCCAATTCTCTCTCTCTGTCCCTCCCTCGCTCTCACACCGTCCAATTCTCTCTCTCCGTCCCTCCCTCGCTCTCCCACCGTAGCATTCTCTCTCTCCGTCTCTCCCTCCCTCACACTGCCCCCTCTCTCCCTCCCTCACACTGCCCCCTCTCTCGTCGCTCCCCGAGTCCTCTCCTCTTCCGGGCTCTTCCTCTCTGTCCCACTCGTTCACCCCCTCCTCCCTCCTATCCCCTCCTCCTCCCTCCCCTCCGCTCTCCTCCTCTCCACTCTCTTCCTCTCCGCCCTCTTCCTCTCTGCCCCACCTTCCCCCTCCTCTCCTCTCCCGGGCTCTCCCTCTCTCTCCCTCCCTCTCCTCCTCCCCCTCCCTCCTCTCCTCTCACTGCCTCTTCCTCTCTGCCTCCCTCACCTCCTCCCCCTCCCTCCTATCCTCTCACTGCCTCTTCCTCTCTGCATCTGTTCCATTATCCATCGCACGTGGTTCACTGTCTTGTTTGCAGATGGCATACACGTGTAGCAAATGCCCAGCACAGGCATATTTTGACACGGCACAGGCTCTTGCGTCACACCAGCGAAGCCAGGCGTGCAGGGCCGTGAGACTGCCTGCGGTTGCATCTACGAGTGGTAGCAATCCGTACCTTCTACCGCGACAACACCGAGCGCCAGCGGCGCACATCCCATCATTCAACCTTACGCCCGTGGAGTTAGATGACCCTCCTGTTGTGGGTGATGCTGCTGAAACTTTGCAGGATAGCATGGTGCCACCAGATTTTGTTTCGGATGTAGATAGTGACAGTGGCAGTAGCTCAGATAGTGATGATGATGAGGATTGCATGCCTTGTGATGTACCTGTTGCTATAAACATGCCGGATGAGGTTGGGGGGGGGGGGGGGTGAGGGTACATCTGGGGGGGCAGCACCTGCTGAGACGGAAGGCCTCGGGATTCCCGGGTCTGATGATGTCGAGGAACGTCCATTCAACTTCATGGATGCCCTTGCACACTGGTTGTTGATGGAGAATCTGTCACAAAGCCATATTGCTACCTTGTTGGCAATCCTTTGTCATGCAAGCACACGGTTGTCTGACATTGCCCAATGGAAAAGCATTCGTGATGTTGAGAAGTATGCTGAGTCGAGGGTTCCTGACACGTCGAGGGGCTGGAAGAAGGCCAGAGTGCGTGTTGGGACAAAGTCATGGCTTGAATATCACTATTGTGATGGCCTTCAAGCGCTGAAAGAGCTTCTCACACATCCGAAGCTTCAAGGTAAGATTGTCAAGGAGGCAACAGCTCGCAACCCCGGGGTGAAGCATGTTTACACCAATCCAGAAACGGGAGATTGGTGGTTAAAAATGCAAGAGAACATTCGCAAAGAGATGGTGGATGGCTTTGTCGCTGCTCTAATACTAGCGTCGGATGAGAGGCACATGGACCAGCGGGGTAAGGCAAAAGGCCACCCCTTATACATGACGCTGGCCAATATTCTAAGGGAAGAGAGGTGGAAGAAGCACGGGCACGTGCTTCTCGCTCTCCTCCCGGAATTTACAGCAGAATACGACTCGTTGGATAAGCTTGTTGTGTTCCAACATGTGCTCAACCAAGTGCTAGCCCCACTCAAGCGTGCGTCGCACACGGGTATTAAAATCCAGGGGTCCAATGGTGAAACCTTGAACGCATGGCCTGCTCTTTATGCGTATGTGTGTGACTATCCTGAATCGTGCAAGGTCACGTGCACAAAGTCGGGAAGCACAGCTCGACCATGCTCCATTTGCCTCACTAAACGGGATGAGTTAGCTCATTTTAAGCGTGGCATGGTGGATAGGACACCCCATGTCCATCGGTCATTGTACCGATTGATAAAGAGTGGTGCGTATGATGCAACGCAACACGATGACTTGTCAATGCATCCCGTCGAGTGTTGCCTATGGGGATGGCGTTGGGAATCTGAACCCCTCCTCAACCCTTACCTTTGTGTCATGCCCGACATCATGCACCAAGCTGATTTGGGGTTGTTGGAGCACATAGTGGAATGCATTCGTCAAGGTGGCGACACACCTGACACCAAAATGACCGATGCACGTAGGAAGTTGCTGGATAGGAGGCTAAAGTATCTACGTAGCATCACTAGGAGTGCGTTCATGCGCCTACCAGCCGGCACATACTTCTCTAAAGGTGCCAATTACCAAGCATACAAGCATCGTAGTGTGATGCAAGTACTCCCTTTCCTTGTTACCACGTTCGTCACGCAGCCACAAATGGATGCATTGATAGCATATGTTGAGTGGTATCTGCATTGTGCACGTGTAAGCCCGTTGAGCATCTTCTCAGCCCGTTGAGCATTTCCTTGCCCGGATGCATTGTTAGCTCCGAGGTCCAGCGCCTGCGCTTGCAGCCACTTGCACCACTCTTGGGCAAGAGGAAAAGGTATGACACGGCCATGCTCATGGCCCAACGAACAGGCACGCGCTTCTTGTCTCGCACGAGTTGGAAGTTGGTGATACCAAAGGCCCCGGAAGTGCCACAACCACAAACTTCAGATGGCAAAAGGGATAAGGCTTATGCCGCAGCTCTACGGGAAGAGCTGCCATATCTCAGGGGTGCCTTGAACATTGCACCAAAGTGTAGCGGCGAGGATATCACTCACATCCAGGTTCACACCGAGCTAGCAATGCCTGCAGCCGTAGATGCGGAGTTCTCTCGCCTTCCTCATCGCATCCGTGCGCTCCCTTCCTTCCATGGAAGGCCATGGTTCTCAGATGTAGCTGTGCTAGGGAATGAGAAAGAGGAGGGTGATTCAGAGTGGTATGCAAAGTTACTACTTCTCTTTCGAATCGTAGAGAATGGGACCAAGAAAGACTATGCATTCATAAAATACTATGAGGCTACTAGGGCCCTAGACCCGGTAACGAAGTGTGTGAAGCTGAAGTGGGCGGCCAGCGAAGATCGATATCGGGTAATAGAGACAGCAAGCATCAAGAGAGCGGTGCATCTAGTGCAGCCGTTCATAGGGGATGATAGCTGGCTATTAAACAGATTCTGCTTTTGATTCTGTTTATAATAAATATACATGTTGAAGAGTGTTGGAGCACAGGATGATAAAGACAGACGTGCTATGTCAGTTCGTGTATCTGTATTTGTCGTTTTGGCATTCTAGGCACAACAACTGTCCGAGATATTGTTCATTTTGTTGCACTGAGTATACGTGCTGAGCTTGGATATACAGGGTGCTTCATTAGAATGTGTTTGTAAATGGATGCATGCATGTTCATATGGGGTATGTACCTACAACGAGGCAAGGCTTACGCTTACTTTGGCCTATTTCGCTGAGGCAAGACTCGTTATGAGGGGGAGGTGATGGTAAAGTAAAAGGTCTGACCCAGCCGTGTGCTTTTCTCGTGCCTCCCGGCCGTTCCCACATGGGGAAACTCTTTCGCAGTGCACTCTACCTGTAGGGGTGGGGTATCCTGTGATTGATTGGCTGATGGCGGGCAGACAATCCGCGTGTGCTCTGATTTTAACACCCTCTTCCGATCCCTCTCTCTTTCGCGCGCTTTGTATGCCAGCAGCCTCGACTGCTGTTTTTCTCTCATTCCATTTTTTTTGACTTCTAAGCAGTTCGTTGTTTTATAATCTCCGCTGTTCTCCACGTCCTTCCACTCCTTTACTTCAACAGAAACTGGTGCATTTCCAGGTGCGTTCGCCATAACTCTTAAGTATTCTGAGGATTGGGCGCAAGTGGAAGATGATGAAAGTTCGGTGCTCTCTGAAGCATGCATGGGTCTTCCCCGCTGCTCCCTGTCCAATCAGCAAAGCGCAGCAGGCAGAGGGGTTCAGGGGAGGGGGGAGGAGTGCAGCGGGGAGAGAACGATAAGGTTTTTTTCGTTCAATCTCTCCCTCTCACGCTCTCCTTTCTCTTCTCTTGGGTCTCGCTGTCTCTGCTTCTGTTCTGATTGGCTGGTGGTGGCGAATGGAAGCCGATGCGCGCTATGATTGGCTATCACTTCACCCCTTCCTGATCCCTCTAGCCCATAATCTTAAGGGCGCGTTTAAGAAAAAATACGTTTCTGCTCTGCCAGCTGCCACTTGATCGCGGCTCGCACTGCCCACCTCTCGCACCTCCCTCCCGCCTTCCGCCCACATTGCCTGGGCCTCATGTCCTCCCGCTCGTGCTCTCCCCCGTATCACTTGGCCGTTGCATGGTCAACCCTCACGTATCTTAGACCCCACTCTCCCCTCGTCTCCCCCCTCTCCCGTCTGTCCCCACCCCTCCCTCATCTCCCCCCTCCCGGGGCATGGCAGGCATGAGCTGGTGGGCATCGTGCTGCGTGTGCTCATCCGCGCCATGATGCCATCGCCACGTCATCGCTGCTTGACGTCACACCAAAGCCACCGCCGCCTCCACAGTCGCTACAGCAGGCGGCGCCACATCAGTGGGCGCCATGCCTCTTGGTGCTTAAGATGCTAACGGCGCAGGTGAGGTGGTTCTTTGTGGCGCACGCATGCATGCGCACATGCACCACCTCACTCGCATGCTCATCTCGCACTTCACACATTCACGCATGTGCGCCATGCCCGTACCGTCACGGTCGTGCCTGATTTCCCAATCACACAACCCTCAACGTCCCAAGCCTAACCCTATCTTTCCACTCGTTTTCGTCCCATCTTTCCCCCATCCTTCTCTTCCCCCCATCCTCTGGGCCCTCCTCACTCTCTCTCTCTCTCTCGCAACGATCCCTTCTCTCTCACCCACCTCCTCTCTCGCCGACCTGCTTTTGACCAACCCTTATCCTTCCCCAGCGGACCCCCCCCCCCACTTCCTCCCACATTTTTTTCTCTTACGGTACTTCCTCCCTCACCCATCTCCTCACCCTCTCTCCCGCCCCCTTCCTCTTGTCTTTCTGCCACCCATGTGCCAACCCATGTCACGACCCCGCCGCCCGTGTCCTGACCCCGCCGCCCGTGTCCTGACCCCGCCGCCCATGTGCGTTGCCCATGGGTGCAGCAGAGCGCGGGAAAAGCCATCTCCCATTCCAGGGACCACCTTCCCTCCATGCCGCCCGCTTCGCACTGTTTCTTGATGGGGAGGTGAGTTGTCCGTGGGGATGGTAGGTGGTGCGTGGGATGGGGGGTGGTGCGTGGGATTGCGGGTGGTGCGGGGGATGAGTGGGTGTGGAAGCAAAAAGAGGGTTGGTACGAGGCTGTGGGAGGGGCTGTCGCTGCTGGCAGGGGAGGCGGGGTGGCAGAGGCGGATGGGGGTGGCGAGTGGGAGGAATAGGTGAGAGGGGTTGTCACAAGGGGGAGGGACGGAGGGCATTGTGGGGAAGTGGTGGCCATTCCAGGCGGCAGCAAGTGGCAGCGGGCAGAGGAGGTGAGAGTGAGAGGGGTAGGGAGGGACCCAGGGAGGTGCGAGCGAGGCGAATCCATCTTCTCCTTCACGTCCTGCCAACACACTCTCTCTTCTCTGCCATCTCCTCTCCTCCCCACCCCCCCGTCTCCTTCCCTCACTGCCCCTCCCCTCCCCGCCCACCAGGCAGCAGCCCCTGCTGCTCAGACTCCTCCCTCCCTCTCACTTTTCGTCCCCTTCCCAGCGCACCACACAGGATGCCGCCTCAATTTGCTGCAGTACAATATGTGCAGTGCGGTGCAGTGCGGCACTGCTGGGCAGTGTTTTTTTTTTCACTGAAGCGTGTCAAGGCCGCCATGGCCGCCTTGAGCTGGCTGACCGCACGACCCTCGCCGCTCTGCTCGGCCGCTTGCCTGCAGCTTCGACCTCCACTACCCGCGCCTCCCTGCCTGCTAGCTGCGACGGTGCAGCGAATTTAGGCCTCGGGATGAGCGTCGCTCCTTCCGTGCGCCTCACCACTACTCTCTTACCGCTTGCCTTGGGGATCCGTGACGGCAGCAGCGCTAGCAGAGCATTCGCTGACCTTCTAGCTGCCGCCGTCGTGCAACCAGCTGGCGATAGCGTCGCCGAAACCGACACCGTTGGATCTGAGGCTGGAACATCCAACACTTCAGCATCCGACGCTTTAGCATGCGCCGGTTCAGCGACCGATACTGTCGCATCCGACAGTTCAGCATGCGATGTGGAAGCGGATAGCTTAGGAGCATCCGACGGTTCAGCATACGATGCTGTAGCATCCGATGCTCCAGCATCTGACGCTCCAGCATGACCCGACGGTTGAACCTCCGACGCTGAAGCATCAAGAGCTTCAGCATCCGACGGCACCGCTGGCATCTCTGGCAGCATTGGCGCTGCAGCGTTGGCTGGAACGACATTTTTCGTGTTCAGATTCTTCCAGAAGCTAAGCGCGGCACGATACGAAGGGTATTCACAGACTGATGCCATCGAGGAAACCGGACAGCGATGTCGAACAGAGCTCAAAAGGCTGACAAGATAGTAGCTAGTGCTTGAAGCGGGAGTGGTGAGTAAAACCAAGTATGGAACTGCAGATTTGTAGGCAGCAGTGTGAGTGTGTTGGCCTAAGCAGCGTGAGAGGAGAAAGGCAGTATCGGGGAGAGGAGGGAGAGGAGTCTCGAAGTTGTCGGGTTTGGTTTGGATTTGGTTTGGAGCCGGGGGAAGGATGTCTGGGCTGAGTAGGGCGTGTTTGGAGCCCTCAGGTTCGGGTGAGGTGTATTACGATATTTGTGTTTCCCAAGTTTTTGTACGGTTGAGTGGTTTGATTAGCGAAACACCAACAGTGACTAGTGCTCGCGCAAATTTCGTGAGGCTGCCAGCGAAAGTTTGGGAGAGGAGTCTTGGGTTCGGCAGGCTTGGGAGGGAGAGACAAGCGAATACCGAGTTGTCAGGCTGGGCCCGAGGGCCTCGCCTCCCGAGGCTACCTCCCTTGTCGCTCTTGGCGCACCAAACAAGTGCCGAACCTCAACTTCCAAGATCTCCGACTAGCACGTGTCCCCGCTAAGATCGCCTAGCGCTTCATCTGTAAATATTTTTTTTATGTAATGACATATTTGACCGCCATAATCTACATTTAGAACAGTGCAATTATAAATCGCCCTCCTTATCATTGCCCAGCATTTTGCAAAAATTTATCCAATCAGTGCATCCAATTACATTCTGGACTGCATTCCAATCTCTCATTTGAAACTATTGAACTCAGGAATTTATGAGACCTCCACACTACAATATAAATTTCTAGCTAACATTTATGGAAACGAGATTTTACAATAGATGCTGAAGCAAATAAATATACGTGACAACTTCATGATATGATACAGCTTTGTACTGTCAGAATAACTATCCAGGAATGATTGGATTAGCTAGAGTTGGGGTACAAGTACTAACCCTAGAAGTGCTGTACCCCATAATGAGTGCCCCACTATAGCCTACAAGTAAGATTTTAATTTCACACACCTCCATAGGCTAAGTGGTGGACAACAAGACGGTCACAAGACCAGTCAAGCAAGACAACAGAGCAAAACAAAGCAGAGCTCAGGGTGGATCTCAAGGACACCACACAATCCGAGCACAAGGAATGGGCCACAAAGCCAGTTCACATGCAGGGTTATAATAGCAAGACAGTACACTGATCACAACCTAGCAAGAGGAAACATGCAGGTGTAAATATAGATATCAGTTTGTACAACAATCCCAAAATCAAGAGACAAGGAGGTAAGGTAGAACGGGCAGAAGCCCGAAAGTAGTGCAAAAACGCTGAAGATCACCAGACCCGAGGGCCTTTGTGAAGACATCAGCAGTGTTGGCCCGAGAGGCCACGTAAGAAAGACGAAGCTGACCACGCTGCTGCAGCTCTCGAGCAAGAAAGTAGCGAAGAGCAATGTGCTTCGTTCTGTGTTCCAGTCTCTGCTCGCGACACAAGGCAAGCATTGCCTTGTTGTCGACGTACAGAACTGGAGGAGAACGAGGCCGCTCACCCAAGTCGGTCAGGAGGTAGGTCAGCCAGCGTCGCTCCTGTGCAGCCATGGCCCAAGCGTAGATCTTGGCCTCACAGCTGGAACCAAGCACAGAAGAAGAACGAGTGGACCTCCACAAGACAGAACCAGCGCCAAGACTGAAGGTGTAGCCCTGTGACGAACGCTGAGTCGCCCGGTCGTCGGCCCAAGAAGCGTCAGAGTGTCCTGTGAGGACCACTGAACCCCGTCCTCCAAGCACGAGCCCCATGCCCAATGTGCTGCACAAGTAACGCAGTACCCTCTTCGCAGCATCAAAGTGCACCTTTCGGTGTCTACCGGGAGCCACGTAGTGAGCCAGGAGGCTGAGAGGGTACGCGAGGTCAGGTCGTGTGCACGTCATCAGGTACATGAGGCAACCCACAAGCTCTGGGTACGGACCACTCGGCTCTCCGGACACGTCCGAAGGTGGAGCTGAGAGCGAGTGGCCGATAGACAGAGGAGTGGGCTGTGGCGAGGAGTACTCGAAGCCGAAGCGCCGAAGTGCCTGGTGCACCATGTGTGACTGAGTCAGGGTGATGGTGCGCCGTGCTCTGTCCCGGGTGATCTGCAAGCCAAGATAACTACGCAGCTCACCCAAGTCAGTGCAGGTGTGTCTATTGTGCATCTTTTTATAGTCACAATAGGCTTGAATGTGCCTAAAACGAAAGATAGAGAGCACAGACGGATTTCTGCACAGCGGCTTCAAACCTTGATAGCGTTCTGCTCACAGCTGCAAATGACTTGATTCAAATTGGATCTGGAGCGTCTTCACGTCATCTACAATTAGCAATTTAGATTGCACGATTTGATAAAGAACTGACGACACAGCGTCGGTTTGAACGAACGGTACTATGGCAGCCACTATAGTCTTAGAACACAAGATAGGAAGAGTTACGAGTTGGGAATGACTCCCAGCTCCTACAAACCCCAAGAGCCGAGGTACAGTGATGTGGAACAGTGCCACACTGTCCCCAACCACGAAGGGTCTCGAAACTACCCTTCACTAGGGCCTACACCAAGTGAAATGTTACACTACACAAAGTAATGTAACTATCTTCAATATCTTGAGGTGTACCCTTTTTGGCGAGCTTCGAAATCACTTGAGGCTTGACACCAAGGCTCGGGCTCTTCATCACAAACTCATCCTTGAGTTCTTGATGGGTCTGCTGCACACACCTGCGACACGCCGAACGTTCGACACTGGACAAAATAGAAACCGCGCACGACAAAATAGAAACCGCGCGCGAGACACAAACGACCGCGTAACACGCGTCTAGCGATAACTCGCTATTGACTCGACACACACACTCGACATCAACATTCACACACAATTATAAGCATGAAATGTATATTATCCCATGCCCTCATACCATTCCATACACACACACATTCACGCACACGGACAACAAGCCGAGTGCAAACCGTAGGGTTGCACCAACAAACTCCCCCTCGGATTGTTGGCCTTAGGATATGTTGCTCTCTCAGTTCAGAGCCATCCCAGCCAGCTTGCAACACTTCCAATGCTGCTGCTCCACCAGCCTCTTGGTCATCATGTCAGCCGGCTGCCCCGTGGTCTTCACGTAGCGCAACTCAACTTCACCCGCGGTTACCATGCTCCTCGTCCAATGCCACTTCACCCTCATGTGCTTCGTGAGTCCATGCAACACAGGGTTCTTAGCAAGAGCAATGGCACCCTGGCTGTCACAGTACAGTGGGGTAGGTCCTTGCTGCTCCTCCCCCAATTCAGCCAACAAACGCCGCTGCCACACAATCTCCCGTACGGCACGGAAGAGTGCCATGTACTCGGACTCCACCGAGCTCAAAGCTTGGTCAACCTGCTTCTTGCTCTCCCAAGCAGTTGGGCCTCCACCAACACAGCATATGAAGCCTCCCACACTTGTCATGTCCTCTGGTTCTGATGCATATGAAGCATCCGAGTAGGCGGTGAGGAACAAACGCCCGGGTTCAACACCATCCGCGCCCTTTTGGCGCCTTTGTGCCGCCGCCGAGTATTGCAGCCCAACGGTCGGTGTTTGGCCAAGATACTTGGCCACCCTCATCCCAGCTGCTACCTGCTCCTCATTAGGGCATTGCACAACCCTAGCCAGCTGCCCGGTAGCAAACGCGACGTCCGGTCGGGTGTTTACCGCCGCATACATGAGGCTGCCCACCAACGAGTGAAATCGGCGCCTCTCCTCTTCACCAACGCTCTCCTCCTCTGGTCCCTTCACACACTTGAACCCAGAGGGAAAGGGTGTAGCCACATGGCCTTCACTCTGCCCAAAGTTGGCAGCCAATGCCTCCAGATATTTTCGTTGATGCACCCGCATGCACCGCTTCTCCACATCTCGTTCGATGTGGAGCCCAAGGTAGAAGCTCACGTCACCAAGGGCCTTGCACTTGAACTTGTCTTGAAGCTTCAGCATCACCTCCTTCACAAGGTCAGAAGAGGGTGAGAAAATGAGGATGTCATCCACATAAACCACCATGAAACTCCTCTGCTCCCCCTC